TTTTTTTTTTTTTTTTTTTTATCGATGTTGATTGTGTTCGATCTTAGGGCTGATTGTGTATGATTGCTTGTAATGCGGTTGTTTCTATTTGAAAATACTTCGTCTTTGAACATGAGTATTGAGGAATTAGAGAGAGGACGAGCGATTCGGTAGACTAATGGAGTGAATAGATATCGGCAATGCCTTTCGTTCTCCAGATGATTTTTGAAACCTTGCGTGATGGATTTGCATTGATGAAGCTGATCGAGGTCAGTTTCATAGTTTACTGTTAGCTTTAATTCCATATTTCGCATCTCTGATTTCAATATCGTCGAAATTTTGCACATAAATTTGAGAATCTAGTTCTTTTGCAAAATTTACTGGATTCATCTCAGATCCAATGGTGTATGGATGCTTGGATGTTTGTACTGTATCATTCCTGTTTGAAAGCACTTCCGTTTTTTGAATGATTTCCCTTCTAATTGATTCTCATATCACATCATCGCTTGTTTCGTTTCATTTTTCTTTGATTCTGATGTTTTGGTTGCATGCACAAAACACTCAGAGAATACAAGATGGAGGAATGGTTTGACAATTTGAAGGCTAATGCTAGACTTCCGGACAAAATTTGGTTCATTTTCACATTTAAGCCTTCAATGAACAGAGAAATAGCATAATGTATATCCATTAACTTTGTTACTAAGTTTCATTTGCTTTTCTCAACGCAATATGTTATATCATTTTTGTGCTTGTTTTATAGGGAATCTGACCAATTAGATGGGAACTGGCCAACTGATGGAAGTGGTAACAAGCATTTAGTTTAACTACATCCAACAAAATACAGTAAAGAACTTGATCGCAGGTAACTAAATTTGTTGTTTAACCATTTTCTATTTTGTAATTGAGTGTCTCGTGTTTCTCAAAAAAGCGATTCGATTGATGGGTCTATGGTTCTTCATCAGTGGTCTTAGTTGGTAGTTCTTGTGATGACATGCTAGGTGCTTAAGCAAGTCTTATTGACTGTTACTGAATTAAAAGTGCTTAAACCTCTCCACTTTTTGTCAGTCTACCGAATATGTATGGAATAGAGATACCTCAATCACCCAAGTAAAGAATCGTTACAAATAATGAAGGAACTAATAGATTTAGATAGGAAGCAACCTAAAATAAACCAAATTTGATATTTGAATATTCGATTTGATAACTGCTACTAATTCTTCGGGTAAATCAAAAGGTAATCTCTTGCATTCTGTCATTCTACTGAACACGTATGGAATAGAGATACCTCAATCACCCAAGTAAAGAATCGATACAAATAACGAAGAAACTAATAGATTTAGATAGGAACCAACATAAAATAAACCAAATTTGATATTCGAATATTCAGTTTGATAACCCGCTACTAATTCTTCTGGTAAATCAAAACATAATTTCTTACATTATGCTAAAGAAGAAATAGAAAAATAACAAATCCTATATGTCTAGGCACAAATTCCACCCAAAAACCATATTTTGATTGAGCCTCAATAGCTTTCCAACAGACTCAAGAACCTTCGGTTAATTTTCCTCTTCATAACTAACCCAGCTTTCTACAGATTCTCCTCCGGGTGCTCCCTTTGGAGGCAGCCTTGATATTAGAAAACTCTTACAGATGTGCAATGGCAGCCAAAGCTGCAGCTACCAGAAGCCACATGTTGTTCTCATGGCGAGTTCCTGCATTGACTGGTCGACCTCGGCGGCGTTGTGCTTGCGCTGAACCAGCTACGTAAATGGGGATTACGGCACTACCTCCTGTATGAGGACTACTAACACCACCACCTCCCCTGGCACCACCTCTGCTGGCACCACCTCCCCTGGCACCACCTCCCCTTGCACCACCTCCATGAGCAACCGCCTGAGAAACGGTGATCGCACATGCACTGTTTCTTCTGCCAATCTGGTTAGTAGCCCCATCTTCGCCATGTTTTTCTGTGTTAGTTTTCTGGTGGCAATTGGACTCTGCATGCATATGGAATCTGGTTTAGGAATGGGGATATAATAAATTTCGTTTTATTACTTTTTTTCCCTTCATTTTTTAAAGTTTACATTTCAGCGCAAGTTTCTTCATTTTAAAATATTATTCTGATGATCTCCGTCTCGAGACCCATTATATTTTTGGTGTTTTGTACATTAAAATATTTAATTTTAATTTTTATATTTGAATATTAATATTAATTTTTATTATCGATTTGGAGTTTATTCTAATTAAAATAGATATAATAGTAATCGTAATAATAACAACTTTTATTTAAAAAAAAAAAAAAAAACTCAAAACGATTATATTAAAGTTTATTTATAGATTTATTTTCTCTATTAAAATTTACATGTATATTTATTTTCTTTATTTTTATTTTTATTTTTATTTTCTTTACTAAACTTTATTTATATATTTATTTTCTTTATTAAAATTTATTTATAGATTTATTTTCTCTATTAAAACTTATTTGTATATTTATTTTCTCAAATAAAATTTATTTGTAGGTTTATTTTCTCTATTAAACTTGATTTGTATATTTATTTTCTTTATTTAACATGATTTATATATTTATTTTCTTATCTTTCCATAGAATATTAAACTTTATTTGATTTATATATTTATTTCATTTTGACATTAAAAGATACCTGTATTCTTCTATTCATCTTTTTATTATTCTATCTTCATTCATCCGAATATCGTTTACGGACTGCACACTTTATTTCAGGTCTTTTTTTGACTCATTATGCAACTTTGTCTTTACAGACTTTTATGGTTTATCTCATTTTACTTTTTAATAACTTCCTTTTACATAATTTATTTTAAAAAGAATAAATACAATAAATGAACTTATAAATCCCGTCTTATTTAAGCAGAAAATTTGTGTCACAAAAATATGAGCATATAATGAGAGAAAAATTGGTGTACTGACCTGTTGGCAAGATTTCTTGCAGAGAAGATGCTATTATGGCCATGGCAGAACAAAACAGTATGAAAATCAATCCCATCTCTTTTCTTCCCATTTTCTTGCATACAGCTTCTCTCTCTGGATCTTTCTATGTGGTTATAGGATTAATTAATGCTGTGGCTTATTTATATTAAACGGTGGGTGGGTGAGGAAGACGAAGGCTAAAGCAATCTTATACCTTTCAAAAACGCGATAACTAAGGGTTTAGAATAAGTAAAGAGACGTCCTTTTGAAAAGAAACACTAACTCGAATCTTTTTTTTTATTTATTTCATCTGTTTAAGATTCTTACAAAAAAATATCTACCCTTCATGTAGTATACTTAGTTAATGGTAAAGGATCCAATAACTAGAACTATTCAACTGAAGTCATAAGAGTAGGAATAGGTAAGATTTTTATTAGTATTATTTTTTGGGTTGAGGAGGGTTTGGAGAACCGAAATTTGGTTGATTCACTACGTGTGATTGCTTTTGTCGAGTCAATCTGACCCACTCGAAATTTTGGGTTGGACCGGAGGGTTTGGAGAACCGAAATTTAGTTGATTCACTACGGTGTTAAAATGATCCAATAACTAGAACTATTCAACTGAAGTCATAAGAGCAGGAATAGGTAAGATTATTATTATTATTATTATTATTTTGGGTTGAAGAGGCTTTGGAGAACCGAAATTTGGTTGATCCATTGGCTATGATTGCTTTTGTTGAGTCAATCCGACTCACTCGAAATTTTGGGTTGGTCCAAACAAATTTATAACCCAACCCAGCCTATGTACACCACTTTTAGGATTATTACTGTTTCACATTTGTAATAGATTTTAGGACATGTTAGGAGATTTTAGTCATTAATGTGACATGTATTATTTAGTTTTCTTGTAGTACACTAAATTAACGGTGTTAACGCAATCCAATAACTAGAACTATTCAACTATTCAACTGAAGTCATAAGAGTAAGAATGGGTAAGATTTTTATTATTATTATTTTTTTTTCGGTCGAGGAGGGTTTGGAGAACCGAAATTTGGTTGATTCACTAGCTGTAATTGCTTTTGTCGGGTCAATCCGACCAACTCGAGATTTTGGGTTGGTCCAAACAAATTTATAACTCAAGATTTTTTTTTTTTTTTTTTTTTTTTTATGTTTCCATCTCTCATAGGTATATAAATGCCTTGGCTGTTCTGCACTGCTCCCTGATGGTTAGCAGAAAGTTCGGCATACTTTTAAAGTGACTTTTATCTATTGTTTTGTTTCTCTTGTTTCTAAAGAACAACATATTTGTCTCTACTCGTAGAAGTATAAAGAATTTTGTTCTTTATTCTGATAGTCAGTGGACTTCACTAAACATGACTACGGCATGTCAAATGCTTAACAGGAGCTTTCAACATTGTCGACAAAGGTATGTTTCAATTCCTTCTCCACCACTGTTCTTACTCAAATTAATGTTAAATTATCGGCCGTCCATACTTTTGATTCTTTTTAAAGTTATCTCACTATGAAAAACATGAAAGATAGCGTGGTTTAGTGGTTAAGTCGTATGTTCTTTAGCTGTGTGAGTTTGGATGAGAAGAAAAAAAATACTATGTATGTATAAATTTAGAACTTTTTTTAAAATATTTATAGAATATGTATTTTTTTTAATAAGAAACGAGAAATGTATTAAAAGGAGAAAGGGAAACAACCTTAGGTTCGGGTAAAGGGAGCGTGATAAGGAATCACTTCAAGAGAAAGTAAGACAGATTACCTTGTTGATTAAATATCTCACAGGAACGTTTGTTTGTGATTCGAATTGCTCTACAAGTAAGACCGATCATGTCAAACTTGAATGATTCTAAACATGCCACCTAAACTACATAGAACTGCAAATAAACTTAGTCATGCACAAATATTCTTTTTACTACATTTTCAAGTATACTGCTAGCGGATACGTAAGCTAACGGTGGACTTGAGTTGTTACTTGTTAGCGCAGCCAAGGCACTGCTCGAGTTGATAGTGGAGGATGTAATACCTTCGCTGAAAGCAATACTTGAAGCACAAGACGATGTCTCCGACGTCGGATTATCATTCCAAGATGACAGAGTTAGTTCTCCCATCCAAATTCTCGTTCACTAATATGCTCTTAGCTTGGGCTCATTGAATTTGGATTGACAATGGCAGTTGGATGGTTCATTCTTGAAAAATGGAGTTCCCTACTTGGGCTTTCTTCCCCAATGGCCTCTCAGGTACTTCAATTCTTTGAGAATGTAATTACTTTGTCGTTGTCATCACCCTTTTACCTCCTGGCTTCCAATGTCTTTTGTTAGATACAAAAATGATGAATGCAAGTATGAACAAATTATCAACAATCTGTCAATCAGTGATAATCTTTGATGCCAAAACCTGACCCATCGACCCGAAGAAAAAAAAAAGGAAACCACGTCAAAACTGAATGTCTGATCTTCTTCAATGATTGAATGATGAATAGGTCCAAAAGTGTGAGATCCTACATCGGTTGGAGAGGAGAACGAAACATTTCTTGTTAGGGTGGGGAGAACTTTCCCTAGTAGACGCGTGTTGGATGATGAAAGTCCCACATCGGCTAATTTAGGGAATCATCATGGGTTTATAATCAAATAATACTCTCTCAAAGTGGACAATATCATATCATTGTAGAGAGTCGTGTTTGTCCAATAACGCGTTTTAAAAACTTTGAAGGAAAATCTAGAATGGAAAGCCTAAAGATTGACAATATCTTGTGCTTGGACCATTACAAATGGTACCAGACATCAAGCTATGTGCCACTGGGAACTTTGAGGGAAAATCTAGAATGGAAAGCCTAAAGCCTAAAGATGACAATATTTTGTGCTTGTACCATTACAAATGGTATTAGAGCCAGACATCGAGCGGTGCAGAGCCAGACATCGAGTGGTGTGTCATTGGGGACGCTAACCCCCAAGAAGGTGGATTGTGAGATCCCACATCAGTTGAAAAGAAACGAAACATTCCTTATAAGGGTGTGAAAATCTCTCACTAACCAACACAAAGAAGATAATATTTATTAGCGGTGGACTTTGATTGTTACAAAGACAATACCTACTAGCGGTGAACTTGGGCAGTTACACAAAGGGATTTCTCGCTTCTCTCTTGAGCTTTGAGAAGCGTTTGGCTGCACAAGGAATCATTCAAAGAGTGTGGAGAGACTAATCAACACAGTGATTTTTTTTATTTTTTTTCCTTTCTCTTTTGTTTTTTGGTGAGGAGCTTCTTCTCCCTCTTCTACTCTTTTGGAACTTGATCAAATCCGTGGTAGAATGTAAATTTCAGGATTTTTTTTTGTTCAATTACCATATTACGATTATTAATTTAATACCGAATTTAAGTTTTTTAAAAGTATTTAGAAAGTTATTTCGAACCACTTCTACTCTATCTATATTAATTAAATATATGTATAATTCTAATAGTTAGATTTACATATTTTAAATTTACTAGATTTTGTAATTATCTTTTAGTCGCCATTTTCTCAATAATTTTTAGAGTTTATATGAATTAAGTATTTATTGTATACAAATCTAACACAAACAATATATATATATATATATATATATATATATATATATATATATATATATATATTGTGTAACGTTATAAGACCGTCAAATTCAACTGTGTAGTGAAAAAGTAATTTTTATATTGTTTTTATGGCTATTTTAGTGCACATATCTATAATAAAATTCTTTTATAATATTTTTAAATTCAACAATTTAATTAATAAAAAAAAATATTTTTTTTTATGTAACGTTATAAGACCGTCAAATTCAACCGGTAGTGAAAAAGTAATTTTTATATTGTTTTATGTAACGTTATAAGACCGTCAAATTCAACCGGTAGTGAAAAAGTAATTTTTATATTGTTTTATGTAACGTTATAAGACCGTCAAATTCAACCGTGTAGTGAAAAAGTAATTCGGTAAAATTAAAAATCGACCACAGTGGGAGTCGAACCCACGACCTTTTGATCCGAAGTCAAACGCGCTAATCCACTGCGCTATGCGGTCATTTTGTGTTCAATGATTATATAAATAAAAATAGATTCTTTTTTTTTTTAAATTATAACTAAATAAGAAAAAGAAACTTTATCACATCGTAAAAGACTCGAGTATATATTCGAGTCCACAATGTTTTTTTTTTTTTTTAATTCGATTATTATATTTTTTTTTATTGTTTCAATTTTTATTTTTCAAATTCTATTATTATTATTATTATTTATATCTGTTAGTAGGAAAAGAAAGCAAAAACGATTTCATGGTAAATAAGATTACCTTTTGAGATTTTGAAAAGAGTTGTCCTAGTCCATGTACGTCCCTTTCTCCGGGATGATACCCTGCCTATTTTAGATCTTCCCATTTTTTCAAACATTACGTCTCTTTACATCCGAGCATCAGTTCCTCACAGCTGACAAATAAGAATTTAGGCTGACTTCAACTATTTTTATACCGAACAGCAATTAATTAAACAAACACCCTTAAAGAATAAAATCTGTATACATAATAAAACTTCAAATTTATTATAAATTTTGAGGAATTAAAATTTTATTTATCTTCACTAATTTTCTTTCTTCTCTTCATTTCTTAAAAAAAAAAAAAAAAAAAAAAAAAA